TTGGGGCCTTCTCGGGAGCTCATTGGGCCCTTTTGGGGCGATCTTGGGGGCCTCTTGGGCCGTTTTGGCGCGTCGGGAAGCCGAAAAGATGGGCGCGCCAAAATCTGCCCAATACCTAAGGAAAAGTAATGAATGTTGCCTCTTGGGGCCCTCTGGGGAGTGCTCTTGGAGGCCTCTTGGGGCGTCTGGGGGCCATCTTGGGCGTCTTGGAACGATCGCGCGGCATCTCGGAGCACTCCTGAACCATCTTGGAGGGCTCTTGGCGGCCTCGTGGCCCTTCTTGGGGCTCTCTGGAAGGCCGCGGGGGCGGCGCCCAGGAGGAAAACCATCTCTGACCCGAGTCTGCCGGGGATCGCCCGGGGCACGTCTCGTCCGGGGACCCCCAGGGGTCGCCCCGCGCGCGCGAAGTAGAAGTATAATTTAGCAGTTACCGGAGATCTTAGCACGCCTCTGGCCCGTTGGGCGGGCGAATTTGGATGATGCGTGGTTGTTGAAAGCAGACAGATGCCGGCTCGATGTCATCCGTTGCCGATGTTTGCGACGCATATTTGAAATTCCACATTCTTTCATATCACGGATCAGCAACGCAAGCGTTCTCGACTTGGCTGGGGCGGAACCGCCATCGCAAGTTTTGGTTGGGAGACAAATTAAGCTGCACCAGAAAATTGTCGCATATGGGCCTACTGCTGTCGCAAACCGAATTCTTTGCAACGGCGACGGGTCGCCGAATAATTGGGCTCGCAAGCGCAGGCGCGGACGACCGAGACAACAATTGGCGCCTTCAGTTTACAATGTGTTGCAACATGTTTGAGCAGGTGAGCAGATCTATCATCGTCGTCTTCATCCGTCGCCATTTTCAGGCATGGCGTTTGTTCACGCCCGCTTGCTCCGAGTGCTTGGCTAGGCGTTTGGCCGCGCCTCTGCGCTGCGAGCGTTTCGAGTGGCGCTTGGTCAAGCGCGTTTTTCCTGCCAGCGCGTCCACCTGGACGCGAGGCTTCTGTCTGTCTGTCTGTCTACGCCCCCGGCACCCCCTGGGCCGCGCACGCGCCGCCGGTCACGATTTGCACCCCCCCCCTCTTGGACGCCCCCGAGCAAGCGCGGGGGCCCCGCCTCCCCGCGGGGCCCTCCCATGAGAGCAGCGCCCCAAACACCGAACTGGCGGAGGCGCACGCGCGGCGGGCCCCTCAGAGCGGACACGCTCACGCGCGCGCACGCACGCAAACAAGAAAGCGAACGCACACACGCAGAGCAATTGTTCATTTATTCCACGTTTTGCCGATCGGCGCGGGCCTCCGCCCCCCCTCCCATGGAATAGAAATCGGCTGATATCGGCGCCTGTTCCAAGCGGGCGGGGCAAGCTCGGGGGGCCGACCCCCCGCGAGGCCCCCGCGGGAGCGCTGTTCCAAACAGTCGCACTAAGCAGGGGCCCAGAGCCAGCCAACGCCCCCCCCCCCCTTCGCCCAACGTCGAAAGGCCGAATAACACAAATCGCGCGCCGCGCCGAGGCGAGGAAGGTCGCCCAACGGGCGGGCGCGCGCGCGGGGCGGGCCCCGCTGAGCGGACAGGGACACACACGCGCAGACGCGCACGCACACGCAACTAAACGAACAAATGCATACACACAGAATGATCGTCCTCTCACCCATTGCTTTGCCGATCGGCGCGGGCCCTCGCACACGCGCCCCCATGGAGTAGGTCTCGGTTGTTTTTTTTGTGGGCGCCTGCTTGAAGCGGGTGGAGCGAGCGCGGGGGGCCCGCCTCCCCGTGGGACCCCCCATGGGAGCATGATTCCAAACAATCGCACTAAGCTCAGGAGGGGAAGAAACACACAGGCACAATTAGTCGTCGACCCCCAGGAAAATATTGGAAGTGGGGGGGGAAGACGAAAGCCCAGAACATATGCGAAAGTGTGGGGAATCATGCCATTCGTGCGTCTATCTACTTGTGTCCCAGGGCCCCTTCATAAGCTGAGGCCCCGAGCCAGACCCGCCACCCCCCTTCGCTCCTCGCCGAAACGCCGAATGAGACCTCGCGCGCAGCGACGGGGCGGGGAGAGCCGCCCAGCGAGCGGGCGCGCGCGCGGCGGGTCCTTCAGAGCGGACAGGGACACACGCGCACACGCGCGCACACGCCACCAAACAGACACACACACACACACACACACACAAACAACGAGCTCGTTTGCTTATTCGTTGCTCTGCCGATCGGCGCGGGCCCTCGCACCCCCCACCCCCCAACCCCTGGGAGTGGATCTCGGCTGTTTGGGGCGCCTGTTTCATGCGGGTGGGGCAAGCGCGGGGGCCCCGCCCCCCCATGGCATCCCCCATGGCAGCACTGTTCCAAACAGTCGCACTGAGCAGAGGCCCGGAGCCAGACCCCGCCCCACCCTTTCGCTCAACGTCGAAACGCCGAGTCAGAAATCGCGCGCAGCGTCGAGGCGGGGAAAGTCACCGAACGGGCGGACGCGCGCGCGGCGGCTCCTCGGAGCGGACAGGGACAC